CTTCTTTTAAAAAATATATTATAGGTGGAAGAGAGAGAAAATATTTGGATTGCTTGGAAATATTTTTCAACCTTTCAAATACAACTTGTACAAATAGCCACTAGCTGCATGTAGCTATTTAAATCTAAGTGAACAAGAATGAAATAAAATGAAACATTCACTTCCTCAGTCACTCACATCAGCGGTATCCAAAGTGCTCAGCAGCCACATTGGCCAGTGGCTGCCCCGGTAACACGGAGGTGGATTCTTTCCACCGCAGCAGAACGTTCTCTTGCACACCGCTGCTCTGGCCTTTCTCGAGACTCTTTGCCAGTATTATATAGCTACTTTATTTCTTTAAGCCTCCTTTCCTAATAAGTTTCCTTCCCAGGACTACTATGAAATTTATTTATTTTTAAAAATTTATTGATGAAAGAGAGGGAGAGAAGGAGAGAAAGAAACATTGGCTTGTTTTTCCACTTCTCTGTGCACTCACTGGTTGCTCCTTGTATGTGCTCTGACCATGGCTTGAACCTGCAGCCTTGGTGCATCAGGATGATGCTCTAAGCAGCTGAGCTACCCGGCCAGGGCCTATGAAATTTAAATGTGATATTCATTGTATGAAAAGCATACATCCCGGTACCCGGCACATTATAGCGCTTAATCACGGGTAGAGCAACAAGTCCACTTAGCCTGGAGCCAAACACATTTGTCTCTTAAAAAGTACCTGCAAAGCTTTTTGAAACCATTTCCTTGGGAATCAGACTACTTTTATGGGAACAAGTCACTCAAGTCACTCACCGTGACTGATGATAGCTGTTGTCAGTCATAAGGAACATAAGGCTTTTTGCTTTCCGTGATGCTTGGTATCTTAATCAGCAAGAGAGAGAAATGAAAATCCTCTATGAGGAGCAACATTTCTAGCCCTAACTCATTTTTTAAAAAAAGTCCAATGAGGTGGAAAATCTCTGCAGAGGTGTTTATATTGCAGCAGTCAACACAGCCCTGGGCCCAGGCAGGCAACCGGCTCTGCTAATGGGAACTGTGTACACACAGCAAAGGGTAATTACTTTGGGCTACTGCTGCCAACTTGATCTAGCAAACTCCCTGCCTGCAAGGACCCATCATCCCCCGGAGAATGGACCCCAATCCACTGCAACTGTACAGACCCACCAGAGCTTCCCGTGCCACGGGCTCTTTGAGGTCTTTTGTAATTTGCATTCCTTAGGCAAATGGAATTTAAATTCCTTAGGCAAATTTCATCCTGATGGAACACCAAGATGACATGCAAGCCATTATCTCATTGTTTAGGATTTCTGCCTTATAATCATTAATGTATGCTCCAACTGGCAGGTGAGGGGAAGCATTTGGGCTCAATTCCATTTTGCTTTCACGAATGTTCCTTCACCTTTCAACAGCCTTTGCTTTACCTAGCACCTTCCCAGACATCTCAGTTGTACTTCATGATACTCTTGTGTGTGGGGAAAGGCATAATGAGGTATAGCAGGAAGTCACAGGACGGGTTTCTGGTGCGGGGTTAGAAGTTAAAGGGTCTGGAAGTACCGTGCCATGACATCGTAGAGTGAGTGCACTTCCACAGACCTAGATGGTCCAGCCTGCTACACATGGCGGTACGGGACAGCCCAGGGCTCCCAGGCTGCAGGCCTGTACAGCTTGTTACCTTACTGAATACTACAGGCAATTTTAACACAATGGTGTTTGTGTGTCTAAATTTATCTAGACATAAAAAGGGTACCGTAAAAATACAGTATAAAAGACTGTGTGTGTGCCTACATCGGCCATGAAGGGAGGCACATCTAGGGGAGGAACAGACTTCAGGAGGAGGGAAGGGAGGTGGGAGCCAGGGAAGAAGAGAAAGGAGAGAAAGGATGAGCAGAGACAGAAAGAGACCCAGAGAGATAAGTCCAGAATAAAAGGGAGAAGGAGAGAGAGGGAGAGAGAGGGAGAGAGACTGGGAGGAAAGAAGAGAAAGGAGAGGGAGTGAGCCCGTGAGTGTGCACCTGTGTGCAGGGCAGGCAGGCCGGGCTTCCGGTCTCCCCTGTGCCCCCGACCTCCCCTCTTGCTCCTTCACCAGCTCAAGGCCCAGCCAAGAGAGCAGAGCAAGTGGATCGTACGCCGACCCTCCGCCGATCTTAAAACCACCCAACCCCGGAAGGAAATCCAACACTGTAGTGGGGTCCCGCTTTTTATTTATTTATTTGTTAAAAAAATCAAATGTATTGGAGTGACGTCGGTGGGTAAGACCACAGAGGTTTCAAGTGCACGTTTCCGTGGTACCAGGTCTGTACCTTGCACTGCGTGCCCACCACCTAAAGCCAGACCATCTCCCACCACCAGGTATCAGGCCCCCTGCCACCTTCCCACCCTTTCCCCTCCTGCAACTGAAGCTCCTGGACACAGACAGCCTTTTTATTCGGCAACACTTTAGTTAACGGCCAACTGCATACACCCACTTACAGTGGTCCGGTTAAGGTTGTGGTGGAGCTGGAAAACACCTGCTGCCTAGCGGCCTCACAGCCGTCATAAGGTCTTAGCAATGTCCTGTACCACTGTGACCACAGCCTCTGCGTAGTGACGCTACCAGGTAGAATGCCTGCGGCACGCACCTGGACCCAGAGCTTCCCACAGATGTCTATCTTCCCTTTGTAAACCAGTGTGACAGCCCACGGACCCTCAGCGTCCCTACTGCCATTGCTCTTTAGAAAGATCAGGAGACTTTGAACGTTTACTACTTACAGGCCCTAGAACATACAAGTCACCCCAAGGGGCACACATCCAGGTGGGGGTGGAGGGAGACAGCCTGGGGTCCCATTTCTTTTGAAGTGGACAGGGGGGCCTAGGGTTTCCTGGGTAGACTTGCTCATTATTGGTGAATTTAAAACAGAAGAGCAAGAATGCAAAGCATGATGAAGATAAAAAGGAGCCCAGATGGTCAGTTATCAAACAAGATCTCCCAAACAAAGCAGCCTGAGGAGGGAGAGGCAGCAGGCTTCTTTATCTAGTCCTAAGGCTGGAAATGTGTCCATTCCGGATAGTCAGGCTCTTGCATTGCAAAGAAAAGCCAGGGCGCACACTCCAGTTCCTTCTGCCTTTGTGGCGATGCTGGCGTAAACAGACCTACTGCACCGCGCGTTGCATGGCAGTGTGATTAGAGTTAAGCAGGCTGTGGCATCCAGGTGCGCCTACGTGCTCCTAGTGGTGTGCACGCCTCCGCCTCACCTGAGGACAAGGACGCAGCTCTCAGCACGTAGCATCCAGGTTTGTGTACGTGCTCGGTGGTGCTGGAGCCTCCACGTCACCAAAGGACAAGGACACAGTTCTCAGCACATGTCCTGGCATACGCAGAGCAGGGACTTAACTGTTTCCCTTGGGCCCAGGGTGAGATTGCAAGTTTGGGTGGGTTGCAACCACACCACATGCCTAAGTGGTCTGTGCTGCAAATGGGGGAATTGTGTCCTGGGTTTCACAGGGAGGCCTCTGTGGCATCTTTGTACGTTTGCAATCATAGTCAGTTTGCAAACAGGACTGCAGATTCTTTCAACCATTACCCTGAAACAAAGCTTTGCCCTTATATTTAATGACTTAAATTAAATGACTTAATAATTTCTTTGAGATTTTAACCTATCAGTTCCCAGGCTGGCCCTCAACCCCCCCCACCCAACCCCCCAGTGAGGGCCCTAAAATTCCTGACTAGTGATGCTGAGGCCACGTGGATTGGCTCATGCTGTGAGAAATTTGCCTCCCAATTAGGAAAAGATCAGCAAATGGGAGATGGTCCGGGGCAGTGGACCTGGGCTTAAATCTCAACTCCTTTTTGCAGCTCTGGGCATCTTAATTGTCAGTACCTCCTCCATAGAAAGAAGAGACTGCTATGCTCCATGGGGTCCCGTGAGGCTTAAATACACGTGTGTAAAAACAAACAGAAGTGACATAAAGACTGGAAAATGAGCTGTGAAACCCCACACCTCTCCTGCCTCTCTTTCCTGCACACACACACACACACACACACACACACACCCACCCCTAAAATGGCGATGTCAGAAAGCACCAATTTGAATTTTCCTAAGTTTTTCTTTAGATTCTCCTTTTCAAAATCTCACTCGTCTCTATCAAGCCTGAATGAAAACAAACAAAAAAAATCTCTTAAAGAACCATTTGATCGTGTTGGAATTTTCCAAGTAATTTTATCCACAAATTGGTAGGCAGGGTGCTTTAACAAACGCCTCGAGTTTTGTTAAGATCTTAGCTACCCCTCCTCAGCACGTAGGAAGCCCATCCTAATGTTCATTACGCGGCATTACTTCTGTTTTAGTATCTGGGAGGGCAGGTTTTAACTCTATGAAGGCAGGGCAATGTCAGTCTGCCTCACAGCTGTACCTTTGGCACTAACTAAACAGCATCAGGTGAACAGCAGGTGCTGGCTGACCAGATGTTTTGAGTAAGTCAGTTGACGGGGCCACTAAAGTCCTGTAGACCTACCTGCCTGCTCCTGAGAGCATCTCCTCCATCCTGGTGACCTCACGAAGCCGATTAGTAACTCGTGGCTTCAGAACTGTCCACACTGAAACAGTACGTATTTCAGGCCTAAGACATTTTGATTTCATTCAGCCCTGTAGAAACTGGGTCTGAAGAGAGAAAGCAAATAAAAAAAAAAAAGCCTTCGGTCTGGGTGTATCTTTTAAAAAATTATAATGAAGTTTGCTTTTTCTCTTTTTCTAGGCTCGCAGTGAATACTTACCTCTTCTAAGATCAATCCCATGTTTTACCTGAGAAACACACTTGGCTAAAATTCCATTGCAAAGAACTCATTTAAAATCAGCACCCGTAGCGTCTATACACAGCATCTATGTACTGTTGGTAGTTTGAAGGTTACGATTCCATACAGCTTAACAATTTCCAGTCTCAAGATGGGCAGTGAGTGACAAGCCTGAGTGAGGGCTGAAGACAGGCGGAGTCCTTGAGTCTCCTCCTTTTCAAATAACGGAAGCCAAGGCAATCAATCCCATTTGAGCAAATAATAAATTTATTAGGTGCCTACAAGTACAAAACACTGAAAGCTGTTGCAGGGGGGTATAAAGATGTGCGGGGAAAGGGCCCTGCCCTCCAAGAGCTTACAATCTAGGCCATTGGTCACAGGGAGGAAGTTGTGGCAACATCACTCTAGGGCACGCAGGCAGAGTCCTTCCAAATGTTCACACCCTCTGAAATCTCCTCTTGTCAAATATGGAAGAAATCCTTTCCACTGGAAAGCCAAACAGTGGGAAAAAAATCTTTTTGTGGAATGAATCGGTGACCTTGGCTTTGCTCGTGAGTATCTCTGGAGCTGTTACTTGTTCTTGTAACTTCCCAGCATCATTTCCTACCAGCCTTTCAGCACAGAGCATCTCCTACCAGCACAGAGCATCTCTGTGCTTCCTGAATGAAGCATCCCCAGGGTTTCCTGTTTGTTAGCGTGTGGCTCAGCTGCCGCTTGGCCTTGGAATGATCTGCAGTCTGAGTTTTCCTTTGGTGACTCTCTGTTTTCACTTCGGTTGATGCTAGAATGACATACCTCGCAGTCTGTGGTTGTCAGGGTGGGGGTGAGATGCTATATGAAGGAGAGCAGGCCAGACTTTTCCCTTAAACATTTAATAGTGCACTTATCGATTATATTCTGTACAGATACAGAGCACATTATAAACCTCTTCTTTTATTTATTTTTTTCTCTTAGACTGTATTCATGTAAAGTGTATTTACATTAGGAAAAAAAAAAAGCCTTGAGGTACAAAACCCAAAAGATTATCTGAGGTATAAATACAAGTACATTTTAAATAATAACCTTTATCATGCTTAATCTATGTTTGAAAGCACAGTGGACATGTGTACATGTGTCTTCATAGAATGGTATATACAACATATAATCTTACAAATCTGAAAGCCATTAAAATTGAATATACAAGTATATCTTCATGAGGAACACTGATACCCAAAATACTCGAATTTTAACACTCTAACCTGTTCCCGCCAATTCTTCAAAGAACCTTTGAAATAACACTGACAATGGTAACTAAAATCTGTTATAACAATATAAAAATCCTTCTCACAATTCTCACTCATACATTATTCACTTTGACCCATACTAAATAAATTTACTAATACTGCCTCTGACGTCAATCTTTACCATTATAGTAAAACCTGAATAAAGACCACCCTTTCAAAAAAACTGTCCCGGAGCTTTGCTTTTGTTTCCTACCATGATAACAATTTGCCACTACTACTAAAATATATTCCAAAAGCATCATTATAAAGGGAAAGAAAATACAGGGAAAACAAAGCAAAAAGAAGGTCAAAGCCAGAAAACCTATTTGTTTTTAAGGGCAATCCAATGAATAAACAGCTTTCAGAAATGCAACTTACAAACAACAACTAACAAACAAAGGTTGTTCATAACAACTTACAAACAACCTTTGTGGTTAGGTTAATTAAATTAACAGGATTTCCTTGAGACATATGTAGTTTCCTACGTTCCTGTGCATTGTGTGTCTTAAAGACTTTCTGTTATAAACATGAAAATGTGAAGACTTGCAATAAGTAAAACGTTTTGATGCTTGATTCAGGAGTAAGTGATAGAGTGTTCAGTTCTGACATTTCAACTTCTAGTTGAACTAGTAAGGGGAAGTTTTCATCCCTTAACTAATCTGTCCTGGTTAAAAACAATGTCACTATGTGCAATCAGGTCTAGAGATCAACTACCTTTGAAATGGGACAGCAGAGTAAATTTATTACAGTTACTTTTCAGGTAAAGAAAGAGTTTGATAGAAGATTCTGTTTAATAATTAAGAGGAGAAAATGGACAAGGGTGAGCTGTCACCCCCCCCCCCAAATAAATGGGTTCCATTTCTGGATGGATCCATGGGTAGTCAGATATTCCAGGTTAAACTGAACTCGATGCACCAATATCCTTCTTGGAAGTGTCTCAGTGTGCCAGACACTGCACCCCAATGTTCACATCTCTGCCATTCAACCAGCACCAAACAAACATACACACACTTCTCTGTGCAAACCTTTCTCTGCTCATCTCAGTGAGAAAACATGTCAAAGAGTACCAACTATTCCAGTGGATACACCAGTCCCTCAACACGTTGCAAATAAAATGGCATAGGTACACATACACCAGTATCACAAGAGAATGAAGTATCTTCATTATCTTCCGCAATGTACTTAAGAGTTTTGCTTCTCAGAAGCAATTCGCATAAGAATACATTTTTTTTTGCACAGTCATATATTCCAGTCAAGATCTATAACACAGACCTTCAACAAACAGGAAGCAGCTTTAAAAATGTATCAAATCACTACAGTCAATTCCTATATTCCAACGTGTCGTTTTGTTTCAGGGTTAGACGCAGAACCCCTTTTCCCAAGGACCGGCAAGGGTTCTAGAAACAAACACCCAGACGGTGGACACAGTTGTTCTGCCTCCGTAATCACCTGGATTTGGTGTCTTTGGTGTCAGTGTTCGGGTTACAGAAGGAGTCTCGGATCTTGACGACTTCAGCCGCGCACAAATGTCCAAAGGATTTTGTGTACCACTCTGGCATGTGGCCTCTGGAACAGAAAGGAAGAGCAGATGAATTCTTCGCGTTGGAAAGCCCTGAAAGCAGCTGCAGGAAGTTTCAAACGTGCTTCGGTTTCCTGATCAGCACGAGGTGTGAGGAAAGCCCACCCTTAGTGTTCTGGGGTCATCTCCCGGCACCGCTGCGGCGCCCTGGGAACTCGGGAAACTACAAGCTGAGTCCAGCTACTGAGTGAAACTCTTCAGGGGAAGCTTCGGCATATGGAACAGAAACCGAGTACATGGAAACTTGCAGAAGTATTGAGATGTAAAGACTCCCAACGAGAATTTACTCAACACGAGAGCCACTTTGGAGAGAGCTTTCAGAGGTTCATTTGTTTTTTGTCCATAATGCTGAATTTCATTAATTTTCTGATACTAACACAACACATCTCCAGCAAAGAATACAGGCCTGGCTGATTACTAAAGGGGCATGTCACACTATTCAGACACCTTTGACTATAAAATGAGAAACATCTGCTTGCTAGTTCAGACTCTCATTTCCTGTGGCTTTAAATTCATGGCAGAACCACAATATCTACATTACTTTAGGGCCATATTTTCTAAGGATCAAAATTAGGAAGTGGTATCCAAAGGCCAGGAAATGAAGGTGTTACTCATTCACCTCTCTCCACAGAGTAACCAAGACACCACATGTATTCACTTGAACCATTCTTTGTATCAGACTAACAGTCTCGGTGTCTTTTGTGACTCCGAGCCACCAAGTCAGAATCAGAACGTACCTTAAGTCAGCCCTGCACATGTAGGTGAGCTTGGACTTCCCGGGCCCACAGGGCTCGATCAGATACCTGGACAGGAGCACATTGGTCCGCACCCCCACCACAGGGGCCCGGTCATGATCCACAGATGTGAGCAATAGGGCGCAAGCCCCCTTGGGCAAATTAGTCCTCCATGTCCTGCAGGAGACAAAAACCAGAGGGAAAACATCTAATTTCCTGGAGGCCAAGTTGAAAATGGGGCCTCACTCTTTGAGATGGTCGAGGGCCCCGCCCCACGGGGACAGCCTCCTCTGAACTATTGGGCAGGGACCCTAAGTGACAGCTCTGTGCAGAGCCCCTTCCCCAGTGGGTGCGTGTGCTCACACAGCCAGTCCTTCCACAGAGAGCCCACCTGCAGTGCAGCCGAAAACCACTCTCACGTCTCACAACTGCATTGGGGCAGGGGGGTCTAAATAGCTGCTCTGTCGGGAACGTTCTGGAGTAACGATGTGGCAAGTCCTCAAAGGTTTTTGGAATTCCTCTTCCAGTGTCTCCAGAGAATTAGAAATTAGATCTAAATCAGCTTCAACCACAGCACACTTGGAACCCAAATGTTATCTCCTGGCTTATGCCTCCTTAGCTGTTTCTAACAAGAACATTGGTCTTAAAAGGGGTAAGAATCTGTCACCCATGACCATATTCAATTCAATGTGCCTCTCTTTTTCAGCTTAATTCCAAAACAGTCTAAAGCGTTTCAGGGATGAACCTACTACTGGAATAAAAGTAGATATATTTTCTGTATTTGCAAGGGTTCAACACTTTTATGGAGACACATACTGTATTTTAAGTAATTTTACCATCTTGTAATATGCAGCGCCCCCCGGGCTCTTCCTTGCACTGCTCATCAGTGAGGACGATCTTACCTCAGAACGACGTAGTCGCGAGCAGGGTGGGGAGCCATGCTGTTTTGGACGTACTGGTAAACTTCCGTTTGGCTGTCCAGGGTCTCAATCACCTTTGCATCCAACAGGTCCACATCCCACAGGTGCTGCTCTTTTAGTAGGCGCTTTAAGATGTCCTCGGGCATGGCAGGGACTTCGATGGTGGACCTCCAAAGCCTCAGAGGGGGACCTTCGCTCACCTGATAAGAGGAGGTAGTTTTCAGTGCTAAGATACTTCACAGGTGCCTGGACTTTGAAGGCAGATTGCTAGCTGAGTACATGGTCCTCTGTTTGGGGGCCGATAATCATCATGGCTTTCCCCATCCCATTGAAGGCTGTCACCACTGAGTGTATTTGAGGGTAGGCTGGAGGGAACGGAACCGCTGGTGTCACTTCAGGTCAAAATTGTTCCATCTGTTTTCCTGGGACCCATATTAGGGTCAATGCCATGAAGAAGGATCCTTTATTTGCACCCCCAAGCCTGCATGGCCACCCAGACCATGCTCATGGTCTATTTCTTTTTAGGGTGAGAGACACATTATCAGCAAACACATGGTAAGCCATACAACACGCATCTGCCCTCACAGGGCTTTCAGTCCCAATAAATTAAGTTCTCCCCCACCTGGTGCATGCTAATTAAAGGGCCAAGAGTAGCCCTGGCTGGCGTGATTCACTGGCCTGTGAATCAAAGGGTCACTGGTTCAATTCCCAGTCAGGGCACATGCCTGGGTTGCAGGCTGGGCCCCTGGCAAGGGGTGTGCAAGAGGCAACCACACACTGATATTTCTCTCCCTCTCATTTTCTCTCCCTTAGCCTCTCTGTAAAAATAAATAAATAAATAAATAAATAAATAAATAAATAAAATCAATAGAATCTTTTTGTAAAAAAAAAAAGGCCAAGACTAGAGTGGGATATGCAAGGGGATTTCCACCATATTATGGGGAGAATCTAAACAGGTTATAGAAGGCCCTAAAGCCCAATAATTCCCCAAGCCCTGCAGTGTGATTCTGTGGCAGTAGGATCACAATGGCTGTTCTGACTCCTCTGACAAGTGTCGGATGAATTATTCCTCACGGGGCTGGTTTCCACTCTCACCTGGGGATCTGAATACCTGGCTGCCCGGCTCCACAAGAACGAGTACGAGTGCCAGATCCCCGTGGAGAGCTGTATTGGTAACAGGGTCTCATCTCTGATGAACCCAAGTGCTGACCCCTGGAACTCAACTGGCTGACAACAGAGAGAGGACTCACCTTCTTATAGGACAGCTCAGCCTGCTCAGACGTCGAGCAGCTGACCCAGCCTTTAAACTTCTCTTTGACCTCTTTAAACAGGTTGTCCACGCAGTCCTGGAGGAAGTGTTGGTAGTCAGCTGACTCGTCATTACAAAGGCGCCCTAACGCTTCCAGGGTGAGAGGTTTCAGTTCTTGTTCCGTGTAGGAATTGCGACATCGGCTCATTTCCTCAGGAACCTGTGAGGGACACAAGACCAAAGGGAGGTCGATCCACCTGTCCGCATTCTCGCCACCCATCTGCGGAAGTGCTAGGGCAGAAACAATGGACTGGACCCTCAAGGCAGTGCAGGTGGTCCAACCCTGTTTCCAACAGATGGAGGAAGTCCCCGCCCACCTCACATGGTGTCAGAAGGATACAAACAATCTTCCCAAAAAGGCATCTGAACAGCTTATTATAGTGTAAGGGAGCTTTGAAAAGTCACGGTAGCAGGGTAAGTGACTAAAATGGGCTTATGTTGAAGAAGGCACATTTTGCAGATACAGGAGGTATTTCAAATCATATGTTGCTTTTTTTTTAGTGAGTATGGAAGTGGGCAATTTCATTACATGTACTAACTCTAATGAGCTTATATATTATGATATATCTAATGACCCTCTCAGATTATGTATATAACCTCCACCTGGGGAAACGATTTTTGGAAAGGTACGAACGAGTACTGCACTGAAGACTTTGTTCTACCCACACTGTCCTTAACAAACCACACTCCTAACTCCTTACCTGGAAAAGCTTCTTGCACTCAGCAATCATATGGGCCAGCCCTTGGGTGGCAGCCAGGTTCTCATTCAAATCTTTCTGATCTGGTTTGCCCAAACTTTGTTTTCTCTGCATTACCCTAGGCAGAAGAAATAGGAGGGGGAAGATTCAAGTATTCATTTACTTTTAATTCAGCGTGTTAGCTGAGGAAACCCAAAGGAGAGAAAGAACCCATTTCACTGGAGCCTGTCTGTCATTCAAGGTTCAGGAGAACTTTAGCCCTGGCTGGTGTGGCCCAGTGGACTGAGCACAGGCCTGCAAACCAAGAGGTTGAGGGTCTATTCCCAGTCAGGGCATGTGCCTGGGTTGCAGGCCAGGTCCCCAGCTGGGGGGCACGCAAGACGCAGTAATACACTGATGTTTTCTTCTCTTTCTCCCTCCCTTCTCCTCTCTCTAAAAATACATAACATCTTCAAAAAATAAAATAAACTCATATCATAAATGATCTCCCCAAAGACATTTTTTTAAAAAAAGAGAGCTTTACTTTAATCATTAGAATTTTTCAGTTTTATCAACAACATACAAAACCCATGAATGCAAAAGAGACTGTTTCCCAGGAAATCTAGGCTATTTAAAGTGATCACTTTAAACAGGTTCTTATTTAAATAGGGCGGCTGGTAAGGAAGAGGGGCGTGTGGTGGGAGGGGTAAATAGCGTCACTGTTCCTCCCAGTTTACACAAACAGGCCCCTCCCCCTCCCTTCAGAGGTGAAGGGAAAATCCATTGTTTCCTAAAGGGCCTTCGTCTTATCTGATGGCCCTCCTCTTCCCCATCCCATTAAAGCTGGAATGTCTCATCAACAGTTGGTATTTAAGCACTGCATGCCTTTCAGAAGCAAAGCTACTTCGACCAGCACAGCTAGGTCCCAAGCTCCTAGGTGAGAAATGGTCATGAGGTTCCTCCGGAGCTGAGGGAACAGGGTCAGCTGGTCGAATCTGGCGTACAAGGCGTGCCCAGGGAGAGATTCTCTCCTCACCCACGGGACCATGGGGCCTTCCCGTGAAACAGTCACGTAAGTCAGAGGCTCCAGCCAGCTCTGCCATCTAGACACAGGCCAGCTACTGACTTAACTGGCATTCCCCTGGTTTAAGGGACCTTCCCTGTAGTCCCGCTTTCCCCTTGTGTGACACAGACACCACCATTACCTTCCCCTGCTATGACTGCTATGAGGATTAAATGGGAATTTGATGAATGTCAAGGGTGCAGTCCTGTGGCGGGGGCAGCGTAAGCATTGGGCAAACATCAGCCTGGTATTTTCCAGATTCTCTGACTTCTTCTACAGCCCCTCCCACCTTGTGCACATCCAAGGACCAAGTCCGAGAACTGTGGGCTCACGCCAGGTGCGGTGCTAACTTTGAGGCTTAACCTTATCTTTTGTTCTTTCTAGACCCGGCCACTTCCTTTCTAGGAGCTCGGCTTTCCTGGCCGCACAGAAGCCGAGGCAACGGGACTCTCACCCCGCATCTACCTGTTCAGTGGCTCTGTGTGACCTTGCAGGCAAAGGGCGCGCTAACAAGGTTACAGAGGGCTCCGGGAGCAGGGGGGTGAACAACGCCCATGGCGAAGCATGAACCCTAATAGCTCTCCCCAAAACTAGATTGTTCAAGAAGTCACACCCCAGGGCTGAGAAAGGAGGAAGGAGGCCAGCAGAAGAACTTGGGCTGTGAAGGAAGACGGCCAACTGCTCTCTGCTTGATTTAGGTATGAACCCCAGAGACCATGTGGACAACCCGAGAAGGAGAGGGAGGTGGCCTTGTACCTGGGGGAAGAATTCTCTCTCTTCAAGGTGTTGAGGTGGAAGAGGGAAGGCGCTAAGCACACGGCCAGGTTGGTCGGAGTCATCTGGTTCTCTTTCACAGCTGCAGTGACATCACTCAAGAAATAAAGGAGCGTCTGTAGCACCTCCCGGTTCTCGTCCGGCAGGAGCATAATGGCGGCCTTGATTGCCTGGAGGCGCTGGTCCTTGGGCACATCTGCACAACAGCAGCATTTTCCCCGTCAGCCCAGTGATTTTCCATGTGCATTGCAAGGAAATGTCCCAAAGCAAACACAGCAGCATCAAAGAGCTCAGCCCAGTCCTGAACAAGCACTTGCAGAGAGTGTACTCAAGGTTAATATGGAAGAAATTAGGGTTGCGCCAGCGTCACTACCCTCAAGTATTTCCTGCCGGTGGAGGAGTTAAAATACTTTAAACACCCACGGTGCCAATATGCTCCTGAATCCACCTCAGAGTTCAACTCCAGAGGAAGCCGGCTTATTTCGTTTTTCAGAACGCCTTTTCTAAGTGCTTTTTAGAGATCCCCAATTTACCATTCTTAATTACTAAAGATATTATAACGCTTATGCTTTTGTTCAGTTTCAATGAAAAATCTTATCTAAGATACGTATAAGAGGGTGAAAACTGAGACTTCCTAGTCTTTCCTACAAAATGTTTGGTACCTCTGGGGACTTTCCTAATTTTAACCAATCTGCTCATCCTTGCAATGAGAAAAGGGGGCCGCTCAGATATTCAGCCAATTTAAACGACAGACATTTATTCGACTGGTGATTTAAGTTTTTGAAAGCCCACTGAGAGATTATTGTAAAATTACATGCTTGAGAACTAGACCCATAAACTAATACACATGTAGAAAATGCAGAACCCAAACTTCGGGTCTCCTTTTCCAGGCAAATCCTTCTTTTAAAAAAGGCATGTGGTGGAAAAATCAAGTCACTCAAAGGCAGAGCTCCATAGGACGAACTGATTAAATAGCTCCATGGTTACAATACATAACAAATACCTCGGTGGGGAAAATGTGACCTGTGTTTTCATAAAATCTGAAAGGATGAAACAAATAATGAAATAATCCAGACCAGCTCCATTTCTCATAAAATAGAGCCCAACACGCCAGCTCCAGACAATCTGAGCTCGGAGAGAGGCTGCTTTCAAATTACATTGCTGTAATACAACCCTGAGCCAAGAAAAACACACGGCTGTAGAAGCTGTAATCCTGATCTTGATCATTAATTTAGATAACTGTTTGCTTTAAGCTTCACTTAGAAGCGAGAAGGGCATGGGTATTGTTTTCCCAAGTATTTCTGGCAGAAGCTGAGATGAATAACAGAAAAGGATGATTTATTCATTTTTACACCAAGACAAAACACTCAAGACACCTGTGAAATTTTAAACACAACAGATCCTGCTGGAGAGACCTGAAGCAATTGAAATTTCCACAGACGAGGTGGAGAGATCTCTGTACCTGCCCTTTTAAGTTTCTTAGGTGACCCTGTGCTAGAGAGCAGTGAAAGAATAAGCTATGGAGTTAGAATAAAAGAAGGTACCGCTGCTTCAGTAGTTAGAGAAGGATGACAAGGGACATTTATTTCTAGGTTATTCCACAGATCTACAGAAACCTGTTCCACAAACAAGGAGGCAAGGAAGAAGCTGATGACAGGTGTTTCCAAGAGGCCATCAGGCGCGTCTGAAAGAATGACATCAAAGGAAGCTGGAGGTTTCAGCTGGTGCCATTTTTCCCCACCTCTGACAGTGTCGAGATCAAAGGACACTTACACTGGTAGATCTGTAGGAAGGTTTCCGAGAGTTTGTTCGTCATGAGTGGCTCAGGGAGATCTCGAAAATACTGCTTCAACATGTCTGCCACGTCATAGGCTGACTGCCCCTCATAGTTGACACAATCTATGGTACTTTCATTCATCTGGCGCAGGGCCTGGATCCGGGATTTGACGCCCGATTTTCTGAAGAGCCCAACCTGTTGGAAGAAAAACATTAAGTGTCAAGACGAAAGCCCGAAAGCCACATCTTCACCGCAGAACTAGAAAAGGGAGCGCCTCTGGGCTCCGGCGATGGAGTGAGACCGGCAGGCGGCAGCTCTCACCTGGTCCAGGCAATGGTTTCGGAGGTAGCGCATGGCTTGCTGGATGCTCTGGGGCAGGGGCTGTCCCGTGCGCTGCACGTTGACGGTCAGAGGGACCCCGAACACGTTCCGGTCCTTGTAGTCTGGAACCTTGATCCTTTTCATGAACTTGGGCACAGCCCTATTTAAAGAACATCGGTGGGAAGAGGATATGTTTACTCATCTGTCTCCTTGTCCATCTCCGCACGTAAACCCTGCGGGCCCTAGATCTGTGTTAGGAAGGTGGCTACTTAAATTTAAATGAAATAAAATTAGAAAATCAGGTCTTGAGTTGTAGTAGCCACATTTCAAGCACTCACTAGCCATCTGTGGCCAGTTGCTACCATACTGGACTGTGCAAATTTAGAACATTTCTGCCATCCCAGACAGCTCCGTTGGACAGTGCTGTTACAGATCTCCTCGGAGGTGGGGCTGCGAGGCCAGTCCCCTTTCCTCACCTGGGGACTCCCTTTCCACTGTTAACCCCGAGAACTCGCTCTATATTCTTAGGGAACCAGATGGGCTTCCTTATAGAATGGCGGCACAGGAAGGAACAGATGCAGAAAACAAAATGCAAGACCCCAATGAGGTGCTTCACGAGGGAATTTGAAGACAAGTTCCCCGTCATCATGAAAACGGACACGAATCATTTCCAAGTTCTCAATGAGGACCAACATGTTTGGGAGAAAAAAGGCTCAGGTCAGGCAGGATGATGATAAAGCAAATACATGGTGTTGGTCACACACAGAACGACCAACTTCAGAACTCAACCGTGGCGCCAAGCTCATGACCTGAAGCCAAACAGATCCCCCAGCTGATGAGCCCAGAGGACGTAACATCCTTGGGGGTCCAAAGGAAGGCGGAGAAGAACAAGGAGGGTTTTGTAGCCTGGCCCCAGCTCCCTGGGGCACTGAAACCAGGTCCAGTCCCCGCGGTGGATGTGACAGCGGGAAACCACTGCCACTCGTTTAACCCTGTCACGCTCTACAAACGACCTCTGTGAATGAGACAAGAAAGGGCCAGGACTAACAGGAAAAGACTCTGTGGATCCCACAATGTGAGGCTTTTACATTTCGTTTTGACTCACTGGAAAAACTGACCAGAACTCAAAAAGTATTATGGACTTTCAGATTCTTGAGGGTTTGGTGGCAAGTGGGGGGGTGAACAACTCAGAAACGAGAATGTCAAATATGCAGTTTTAAATAGCCAGCAGGGAAATATGACTCTCCGCACACAGGACCATGGCAGGAGACAGACTGCCTGACTTCTGAGTACTGACCAACAGCCATGGCATGGTGCTGTTTATAGCTCTAGGAAAGGTGAAACTAAAACGCGGGGCCAAATTTGTATTTCCATACAGTTAAGTATACGGTGTCACGGCTATAAGTGTGCATAATACCCGCTTTGTCGGGGGCGCAGAGCCCAGCAGCGGAATGTGCAAAGAACACATTACGATCTCTACCGAGAATCTGAAGCATGTGGGGATAAACCGGTCAATACTTATTTCTGTCATTCAGAACAAACAACTTCTGTATTTAGCAAGGCTCACATAATAACTGCCTTTGAACAGGAGATGCTTTGATGCTGAAGTTAAACTCACTACGAGTCCTGGAGAGGGGAGCCCAGTGACGCTGTTCCGCTGGCTCTCTGGCCACTCTGGCTGCTGCAGAGCACAGCTAATGAAATAGGTTACGTCCCCTTTTTTAGCAAAAACAGTAGCTGTGCAATTGGATAATAAACACTCAGAATAGTAAAAAGACCTAAGTGGAATGCGCTGGGATGTCCAGCTAGAGACATTTCTCTGTTTCGCACCGATAGTAAAAAAGTGACGATAGGCACATAGTAGGTCATACTCATGACCCATCCAGGTCAACAGTTATGCACACCAAGGGCTGTATTTTTGTAAGTAGTTATGGATACCACATCTGGTAAATTTTATCTTCAGGTATATTTTACTCTATGATATCTTAGGCCAGTGAATTCCTTAGATTTATTATTCACCGTGTAAGAGTCTGTGTTGGAAAAAACATAACCTAAAATCTTTAGTACAGGTAGATTTTTGAGTGATGTAAACAGTCACATCAAAATGCTTTCTAAAAACAGAACAGGATTTTAAAGCCATGTACTGTACTTGGAGCAGCATTTTAAAGTCTTCCTTGTAACACCTTATGATCTAAACATTTTCCCTTCCTTCTTTCCAAAACAGGGAAAAGTTTGTCTGGAAAAGGCCAGCCATTGTTTGTTGATGTAACGAGAAGGGTTTGTATGACATTGCTGTAACCTGGAGGCCAAGGAGAGGGGACTGGAAGCTGTTCGCACGAACAATGATGACTTCACTGTCCTAGTCAGTGGGGACGGTAGACCTGTGTACCGTGTGGCTGTGCATTCAAATGACTGAGCCAGTACAGCAACGGATCTGCATCAGATTTTGCATTAAGCTTGAACATTCCTTCATGAAAACTACTCAGATGATTCGGAGGGCCGCAGCTATGGGCAACTGGTGATCGGCAGCTTCATCATGACAATGAGCCCACTCACGTATCACGTCTCGTGCAGAGTTTTTTGGTGAAACCTCCAATCACCCAGGTGACTCAGTCCTCCTACAACCCAGATTTGGCACCCTGCGACTTCTGACTTTTCCCCAAACTAAAAAGGGAAAGGTCATCATCCCAATCACCTTTGAAAGGGAACAGATTTCAGACTGTCAATGAGATTTAGAAAAATACAACGGGGCAGCTGATGGTGACTGTGAGACCTGTGTGAGGTCCCTAGGGGCCTACTTTGCAGGAGACTGAGGCACCTCTTCAGTAAACGTCTCTATTTTTCATATTACATGGCTGGATGCCTCTGGGACAGACCTCCTATGACCTGATACTGCGCGCACATGTACCTATGGTGGGCTATTCCTATCTCTGGGAAGGAGACACCTGCACAAGTCGATGGAAGATGATGCAGTCTCACCCCATCAACTGACCATTCGTCACTGGGAGGGCTGAAAACCCACCAGCCAATCCTGGCCTCAACGAGGCAAAGGGTGACTGCACGGGGAAGGTCAGCTAAGAGATTAGAAGGACAGAACTGTCATATACTCGGTGTAGGGACAGCCTCAGGAACTGACCAAAAATACTTCCAATTACCACTCACAGAGCTGTTTAAACTCTTACCAGCTGAAACCATGCTTGTTAGAAGGTGTGTATTTCTCCAGCAGGGCCGTTAACTTCAGGAGCGAGTACTTCTGCAGCAGGTTCATCTGGGCCACAGACTGGCAGTTAATCTGCAGGGATACGGAGCTCAGGCTCGGCCGATGCGAGCTCTGGAAACTGTGCCACCTCAGCCTGTGCCTGAGAGAGAAGAGCGGGGCCAAGTCAGGGGGTCCATGGCTCTTCCTGGGGAGTCGCGGGGGTGGCAGCGGGCTGCTCAGCTTGGGAGCTGAGAGGATGCACATTGAGAATAACATAACATTTACCATCTTTATTTTATTTACTTATCTTTAAAGGGGAAGGGAAACAAAGAGAGGGAGAGAAACATCAATGTATGGTTGCCTCTTGTGCGTCCCCTGCTAGGAAATGGCCTGCAACCCAGGCATGTGCCCTGACTAGGAATCAAACCGTGATCCTTTGGTTCGCAGGCCCGCACTCAATCCACTGAGCTACACCAGCCAGGGCCATCTTTACTATCTTTAAGTGTACAGTTCAGGGGCGTTAAGTACATTCACGCTATTGTATAACCATCCATAGAACTTACTACATCTTCCCATTAAATGATATCCATTCTTTTGGGATGTTGGGATTTCTCCATCTGCCTCTTTCTTAGGTATTTCCGTGGCTACGAATGCCAGACTTAAAATTACCCTATTTCCCCTACACAACAAGCAGAAGCAGTTCTTTCCTGACTACCCTCTTGCAATCAGGAGAGGGGACAAAAGCTCTTACCTGTTGGACCTTGTCAGGGAGGCCCCCACCCCAGAATCCCTCCTCTCCGGGATGTCAGAGGGCTCTTCGGGTTCATTCAGTGAGTTGCCCGTGCTGTCCAGGTCACTGGGGGTGGCTCGGTCGTTGTCCACATCCAGGTGTATCTGTTTGGGAGAGGACGGGCATGGAGAGATAGAGTCCAGGGCTGAGTCCGAGTCTCCCTCATCCGAGAACTTCTCTGACCACTGGTTGACTATCCTCTGCATCCCATTCACGTGGCAGAGGATGTCATCCAGCTCGGGGAAGATGTCCTCGTTCTCCAGGTCGGCCAGGTCACCTGAGCTGGAATAGAGGATGGAGCCTGGCACGTTGTCATAGATACTCAGGCGGCTGCTCATGGAACTGGAGGAGTTGCGTCTCTTAAGTTCCTTGGGGCTGTCGCTGCTGTTTTCCCTCCTTAGGCTGATGTGGCCAGGGCCATGGAAGCTTCCAGTCCTCCAGTTCACAGAGCTGTTATTCCCTGAGGGAGAGAAACTGCCATTGGAGAGGGCTTTGGGGAAAGTGCCGGGCTTGTGATCTTCTGGGATGTAGAACACCGTGTCCTCTGGGTAGCTCCCCCGGTTTCTGAAGTTCTGTTCCACAACGTTGTTGAATGTCGACTGACTGAAGGGGTCGAAGCCCTCCAAGTACATGCCCACCCGCTTGTTGCAGGCGCTGAGGCTCCGGGTCCTGGTGACAGGGCTGGGCGTGCTGACGGCGCTGCTGGTCTCGGACTGGCTGCTGCTGCTGCTGGTCTGCGTGGAGTTGGAAACGCTCCTCTTTCGTACCAGGGGGACGTTGATGTGGTTGCCATTGAGGGCGGAGATCTCCACGCAGTTCAGCTGCTTCAGCTTCTCCTCATCCATCCCCTCCTGCAGAATGGGCCCGCTGATGACCAGCCCCAGCTTGGAGGGCGCCTTGTGCTTGCCGTGGTGGGAGCCCTTGAGTTTTAAGCTCTCCATGCGTTTCAGCAGACTGCGCGTCTTGGACTTGGCATTTTTCTCGTGGCCTTTCATGCTAAAGCTGAAGCTGGACAGCTCCTTGGGAGAGGGCAGGCTGCAGAAAGAGTCATCGTTGCCTACGAAGTTGACAGAGGAGGAGCAGACGCTGATGACGGAGTTAGTCCGGGGTGTCGCGGTGTCCCCGCTGGGGGGCATGTGGGTGGGGAGACTGCCGGTACTGCTGAGGCTGCGGACGGAAGCCACCTCCTGGGGCTCGCTGAGGTCCGTCAGCATGCTTTCATGGCTCGGGGCGCTCTTCAGGCGGGGATCCTCTGGGGACCCAGGGATTGGGTCCTGCTTTGAAGAAAAGACGTCAAACTCTTCAAGTCGGGACCACCGCTTGCTGTCCCTCTGGAAAGTCCACTTGCCACTTATTGCACAAGGCTCATCCTCATCTGAATCCTCACTCTGAAAAGACAGAATAAAGCCATTCATCCCTGGGACAGGGTTTAGGAGACAGCTTATAATACACTATCAGGGGCGATTCCCTCTCCCCTCCTTATTTCTTTATTTCATCACTTAAAAAAGAGAAACAACTATGCATGTGAAGAATGTAACAGGAAAAAGCCTCACTAAGTATTCCAAGTTAATGAGAGTTATTTTATGGAAACTCTGGGATCCATAGGCTGTTCTTTAATTGCTCGCAGAGGAGACAGTAGAAATCTGCGAAAATTCCAGGCATGCAAAGTATTTTGAACTGGAGGCAGGAGCGGGTAGGACTGCCTCCGCTCTGCCTCCAGTTTTGCTGTCTGTTGATAGCGTGTGTTTATGTTCCCTTTCGCAATTAAAAGGGTAGTTTTCAAACACTAAGAAGAGCGGTAACTGAAGTCCTCAGCCGCCCCACGCATTCACAAGCTCTCCAAACTGACTGGCAGAGACGCCCAGCAAGGTAAGCAGTCACACGTCTTCAGTCCGGTACTTTTCACTCTCTTACCTGCTCTTTCCGTTCCTCCCCCCACCAGACACGCGGCACAGAGCAAACAACGCACAAGTGTCCTGTGAGGTTTCAACCTCAGACCCCCTTCAGGCAATTTCACAAGCTTCCCAAATACCCAGCCTTGACAACAGGCAACGTGCACCAAAGCTAGGTAAGATCTTTGCTGATGATACTTGATTTACGGGCAGGACTCAGGGTTATGGTGTAACACAAGCTATTGCCCCTGAGCCTTTCAGAAGGAATGCCAAAAGGCAGGCATGACTCAGTATGTCTATCTTCCCCACCGGTGTGGGAAATGCCACAAGGCCCAAGAGTCACAGGACAGTGAGTCCAGAGCATTAAACGCTGACTTGCAGCCTCATCTGCACAGCTCAGTGGGCTTTGAGGCTCCAGTTCACTGGTCTAAAAGGTTTAACTTCCCCAACAAGGCAACTTGTTGCAGGGACTCCAGGATAATTAAAACCTGTGCTCTGAACGATCAGTAGTATGTTCTTTGACCAAACTCATTCCTGTTTACTCTAATTTGTGACACTCACTCCCAGTACTACGCCCACCTCTTCTCTTAAGATCTCATAAAAGGTCCTCACATTTCATACATAGAGGGAAAGACCATCTGATTCAGTCATGTGTCACCACGTGACTAGAATGCGTAGGACTTCCTGCCCTCCCTTGTCTCCCAGTTCCTTTCCTCCCTTCACTCCAGTCTCTGCAGCTTTGAAACATACTCAACTGTTATGTATGGGAACTAGCAGTAATTTCTGTGGGGAGCAATGCTACGTCTACTACTATGCCTTAAGCCCCACCCCCTTTTTTAGCCCCACCCCTTTAATATGGAGTAGCCTCAACTACCTGAGGCGACACTGAGTTAAGGAGGCAAAACAGGCAATCTGTTTAGATAAAAAAACAGGAAAACTCACCGATACAGAGAAGAGACTGGTGATTGCCAGAGGTGGGGGGTTGGGTTAAATGGGTGAAGAGGGTAAAAAGGCATGAACTTCTCACTATAAAGTAAGTCCTGGGCATGTAGTTACAGCATGGTGACTATAGCTAATAATAGTGTATCACACATTTGAAAGTTGCTAAAAGAGCAGATCTTAAAGTTCTCATCCCAAGAAACAAAATTTGCAACTACGCGTGGTGACAGATGTTTAACTAGACTTACAAGGGGGGACCCAAAAAGCCCGGAGTTTACTTATTAAGAACTGTGTATCTATTCTTACATGTTTAAACTCCAGTCACCTTCAAAGTGCTCTCCATTTGATGCAATACTCAAAACAGGTTTTAAGCTCATCGATTTTGATACCTTTTAGTGCTTCTGCTGCTTTCTGTTTCACCTCTTTCACATGGGCAAAATGTTTCCCTTTGAGGGCTTTTTTCATCGGGGAAACAAAAAACAGTCACTTGGGCACGATGGGGTGAATAGGGAGGGTGGAGCACAGGGATCATGCCACTTTTGGTTAAAAACCGAACACTCGGCATGGTGTGGCAGGTGTGCTCATAAATCAGCCACCGTGAGATGGGCAAACATGTTGAAAAGAATTAAAAAAAAAAAATCGCTGATGCCGAATGCAGCCTCTCACAACAACTCCAGCTGGCACACTGATACAGATGGGTTCCTAGAACACTCACCTAGCAGGGAAAGCCTGTACTACAAGGGGACCACCTTCCAGAAGGTAATTCTGTTTTGGGGGGCATCCCCCTTGTATTGTGGAGATCATTATGTGATATGTACAAATATCCAATCGTTATATTGTGCACCTGAAACTGATATGTTATATGTCAATTGCATCTCAAATAAAAAAAATACAGTAGGAAAAACAATTTATGGGCTGCCTGCAGCTATTGGTCTCAACTACATTAAGACTACAGAATCTTTGGTAAACTCAACTGATTTATAATATTAAAAATGTCAGTTTTTAGAGAACAAGGAAGTACGAGTTTGAAAGCAAAACCTACTACAGAACACATCACTGAGTTTCCGGTCGGCCCTTTTCCTCCCGCTGTCCATCCCATATACTCACTCTCTTCCGATGAGGACTGACTTCCAGTTTCATCACCGCACATTTGTTTAAAGTATTCAGACGCCTACAGAGCAAAGAAATAACATTAGCAAACACAGGACACTGCTGACGGGAGGATAAATATTTTTCTCCAAACGGTTGATGTGTTTAATGAGTTTCTTTGACTCCATTACTATCTATCATTTAGAACAGTATTAGAAACTTTTAAAAAAGTTGAGTAGCTTAAAAATACCTCTAAATATTTTTTAATTCTTTTCATTAAAATTTTATTGTACCATTATAGTAAAATTGTACAATGAGATATATGGTATTGGGTTGGACAAAAAGTTTGTCTGGTTTTTTTCCCATAAGATGGTTCTAGTAGCTCTTAGTTGTCTTTCCATTCATTCGAAACCATTTTGTTAGTCTGTATGGTGAGAGCTGTCCTATCAGTGTGCATTTTAAATGATCAAAATGGGTGAATTTTTGTATAGCCATTTTAATACTGAAGGTGGAAGAAATACTCAATGCTTTATTGTTTCAAGAGAGGTGAAAATGCAACTGAAACGCAGTAAAAACGAAAGGAAGAACAAAGGATTTGTGCAGTGTGAGAAGTTGCTGTGACCCACCAAACCGGTCAGGAGAGATTTGTGAAGCTTCGAGCTAGAGAGGTCTTGGTGGACACTGCTCCACAGTCAGGCAGACCAGCTGAAGTTGACAGTGACCAAAGGGAGACATTAACTGAGAGCAATCAACGTGATACCACGTGGGAGACAGGTGACATCCTCAAAATGCCCGAATCAATAAAAGTATTGGTGAGAATGAAAAATGTGTCTTTTGTTTTATAGAAAAAAAAACCCACATAGGCTTTTTGGCCAACCCAATATTGTCAGGTGCCTCTTGCTCTTCATGGGACGAACACCTCTTGGCCCGGGAGGGGGTGGCACACGGAACCGAGAACCAAGTGCCGGTGGGCGACGTCCACTTGAAACAGCAACGAGGAACCGAGCGGGTCGTTGGTAAAACAAACACCATATTCTGTCTCGAGTCAAAATCCACATATAACAACAAGATAATTTTACTCATCTCTAACAAATAATAACTGTAGGCAGCCTGTTAAAAATTTAGTGAGTTCTTAAAACAAAGATTAGTGAGTTCTTAAAACAAAAGAAGAGCCCTCTTTAACACAGCATTCTTTTTACAACTTCCTGTTTCAGTACCGAATAATGGTTGGTATTCTCAAAGCAACACTGCCAACGATCACTAATGAACTTGTAGACTGAAGCTGCAAGGGTCAAAATCTTACAGAGTTCAAAGGAAGCCCTCAGATCAGATTCTTCTTTGGAACGGGAGTCATATTGTAACTCTGAATGTCAATTTAGACTTAAGTGAAATTTCATTTCACAAGTGAAGTTAAATTTCATTTCATTTCAATGAAAATGAAATACTTAGAAAAACCCTGTCACTAATATATAATGAAATAGCTGCAGAAAGAAAGTCTTTACTTTCTGATATAACTGATTCGCAAAAGTGGCAAGGGTAGCCCATCAGGCCCGAATTCTGACGTCTTCCAGATGGTCAGCACTTTTGTCTTCCTCAAACGAACCTTTCTCCCTCCCTTCCCCTCTAAAAATGAGTAAATAAAATCTTAAAAAAAAAAAGAAAAGAAAAGGAACGAATCTGCAGTTTTACACCATCAGTCTTCTGGGTTTTCCTACAATTGCCATTCTTCTGTTTTCATAGAATTACAGCATTTAATTCACTGACCACAAGACCTTTTCAAGGCTTTACTGTTTCAAGTCCTGCCCTTGCGACTTGTCTAACAATTCTGACACGCAGGAGGATAGAAAGTTTTTTTGCCTGCTGATAAAGACTGCCTTTGATTTCACAGATTACATGGTAGCCTGTTTAGAGAATAAACAAAGATAACCCAGAGCACCTATGATCAGAAAAATTCTCTCTGTTGATAGGAAGAGAAAGAAAACAAGTAACTAAGAAAAAGTCCACAGACTTTCAAATGAGTGGCTGTAAGGTCCCTCCCTCTCCAGGGGCATCACTACTTAAAGGACTTATACCCACAGTGCTTTAGTTCTCAATGTTTTCAAGGTTTAAAGAATCTGCACTGGTTACAGCTAGTCTCAGGCCTGGGTTTCATTAATCACACCTGGAACCAAACACCCACTTGACTTCATTTGGACTTTAATGGTTGAGTGGTGTTTATAACCCAGTTTACTGGGCATGGAGGCCTATGAGGGTGTCGGAAGGGCTTACTTCACAAACTCTAGGATCGAGTCAAAGAAAAAAGACCCAGGAGGCCAGTTTTATAAAGGTCAACACGATCTTTTTCTTTTGGTAGTGCCAAACTAATGGCCTTTCAATTTCGAAGCCTGAAAGTTACCCCCTGGGGTTTGTGTGGGATTCATCTGCCTCTGTGCTCATGACCTCCAAACACGCCCACTGGTGGGAGGGACGGTACCTCCTTAGAGATAATAGTTCCAGCTACAGCAGTCGGGGGCTCATTCTGGGTCAGGCGCTATGCCTGTATCTCATATGTATCATTTCACCTCGGTCCTCACCACAACCCTGAAGTACAGATATTGTTATTGGGCTTCTTTTTATAGATAACAAAATGGGGGCCCAAAGGTCACCGATCTCATCCAAAGCCACAGGACTAAAACCTGGTGGCTCTGGCACTCAAAGGCAGTATCTTCTTCATTCCTTTCTAAAATAAATATGAACCATAGGAATATATGGGAGCAGCTAATGTCCTAAGTGTGAGTCTGCAAAGGAGTGGCAGAACACTGGTATCACACCATCTGCCCCGAAGCAGGTTGTTCCCACCCCCAGGGCCCTCCCAGGGCTGGGCTGCACAGGAATGTGTCAGTCTTATCTCTTGGGGGAGGGAGTTGAGGGGTGGGCCATCAAACGTTGGGGAGCTCTACTGCCGGGAGCTTTAAGCGCCCTGATAAAAGCAGAGTAGACGGGCGAACAGGCCTCCCACTCAAAAAGGGAACAGGGGAAGAGTGCAAGAGAAGAGTGAGAAAAGAAAAAGCAACAATTTTCGGAAGACCTGACAAATAAAAGTTGTTCCAACTCTTTTGGAATTAGTGCAATTACTTGAACAAACTACCTGCTTCCCTCTTAATAGACCGGAAATAGTAACAAAGTTACAATCGACTAGATGGCAGGCTGCTCTGCAAGGCTTAGGTATTTAGAACATTATAGTAACGAGTATTTATTTATCATTGTTTGATTGTCTTATTTATGCGATTCTTTGCAGTATTGACAGGAGGAGTCAGTTGTAACTCCACAGGAAAACAGCAATGTGGAGTATTTTTCAGAAGCTAGAGAGAGAGAGAGAGAAAGAACCTCTCACAAGATGTATTCCAGTAAGCAGGTCACAGTTTGGGCATTGCCTGCGTGGGCTTCAGGACAAGCCAATCACTCTCTCAATGTTAATACTGAATGTGACTCTCATAAACTTGGCTTTACCACTGGGATTGGATTAGGCAGCAAAGCTAAGAAGACTGGGACAAAAGCCAACCTCTCCAAGGAAACCAGCAGGTAAATCTCTCACCAGCATGAGTGCAAGAATGTCAGCCACTACTCCAAATCCAAAAATCAGAGTAGTTCCCTAATTATAGTTTTGGTCATTACCAAACTTTATATTTAAGAGAAAATCATCATCATTCTCAAGAAAACTTTAAGTCTTCCAGTCTTGTGTCCTAACTAGACTATGTTAATAAATCAGTTCCTACCAGATTTTTGACCAAGGAGCTGTAAGATCTGCACATGTTAAGTGTACAAATGTTTATAATGACCTTTAAACAGGGCACCGGTGCGTGCACGGGAGCACCTGTAACATCTGTGTGTGTGTGTGTCTGTGTTGGGAGCCTGGTGGCAGGAAAGGAAAATCATGGAAGAATTATTTTACTTAAAGTAAATTTAAAAATGTCTTAAAGCAAAAATATTAAATACTCAATCTTTGATTAAAGCAAAACTTCAACTGAGTTTCTGTAGCGATATGAGCATCTGTATTTAAAATCAACTGCTCAAAACACTGCAACAAGACAAAGTTTCAAACCACACTCCAGATCCACTGTCTGCTGGCCCCCGAATGCCATGGGCAGAGAAGGACTCAGTAGAGGCCAGCAGCAAATGAATGGAGACAGCACCATCAGCAGTAAAAGCAGCACCTCCAGCTACCAGGCCGACGGCCCAGAACCTGTTGGCATTTCAAAGGATGGTGCTCCCACCTTTTTTCCTGTGTAGGCCTCTCCTAAGCACAGTCATTTTCCATGAAAAAGTCTATTTCTGTGAACATGCAAACAGGAGCCCTTGGTTTTCCATTACAAACAAGTCGATGACTGTCACTGTGAATTCTGGAGATGTGTATGCATATATTTTAAAGAAAACCCAATCTCAAGCCTTTCCCCATGTGCTCAGATTTAAAGCACACCGACAGCCCCACGGCACTCCCTTCTCACACATAAGCTGTGAGATACTATTTCACGCCTCAGAGACAACCCAAGCCTGGTCAGAGAATGCTGCTGAATCCAAACACACATCAAGCACTAGCTGTTTTTGGCTTTTCACAAAACACCCAGGAGCATCGATTTCTCCCTTTCAAAGGGAGGTCGCCTCTCCGCAGTGAGCGCGCCAGTGGAAATCACACAGTACTGAGGATACCCTGCCCCTCAGTGCCGGGAAACTAAATTTCAAACGAATATTTCCTTTAAAAATAAGTATTCAAGAATCTCATCGGGACCTTTTGGGCTGCAATGCTGCAATGCTATTTTCTTGTGACCTACGAATTCCTATGCCGTTGCTGCTGGTCGGGGGCCCGCTCACTAAGTGGCTTCACATGCATGAAATGGATGATGTGATGCAATGCATAAATATTTTCCAGGACACGTCGTAGGAGTGGCCTCATTTCTACGTGTTATCACCAATGATGGATTGAAACTAAATCAATTCTGCCGCACAGCTAAGCACGGAAACATTTAAAAAATGTCTGCAGTAGCTCATATTCCAGATGCTGCCTGCTTCCTCCCTCGACTGCACGCATTTTCATTCCAGAGGACACAGCTCTGACATTACGCACTGCAGCTCAAGGTTTGGGACTGGGTTCCTTTCAGAAAATGTGCACGAGCCCTGGACATTTCCAAGCGCTCAATGGCTTGGATCTGAAAAGTGACAATGTTTCTGTGGTTAATTAGGGCATTTTTTTCTCTTTCTTAAACCAAGAGAAGTAGTCCATTCCATCTTCCATTCGAAACATCCTACCGATTCTTCCCTAAAACCACTGCTTAAGTTAGCTGCCTCAATAAACACTGTATTATGTAAGAAAGGCAAAAAAAAAAAAAATAGTACTTTCACAGTATTATTTTTCCACTGCTTTCTTTGCTAAAAAAGTGGAAATAAATGCTGGATATGTCCTTCTATCTTAGTAATGTTTTTCAAAGTTAAATACTGAAATTAAAAGGAATTTACTTTAATTTTATAATCAAATCAGCATGTGAATTTTGTCCATGTATAAATTTTTTCCCAGAATCCAGCTTTTACAGTTTTATAGATTTTGAGAAGAATGAAGAAGGGTGAATGGCTTAAAATGAGCGAAACGTCATGAGGGTTGAAAGGATGATCAGGATCCCGTCACTGTTTGCTACACGTTGGACTACGTGTGCTGCGGTGAAACAGGCCCAACAGCATCGTGAGCAGGGGCGACCGGCAGTTTGACGCGGTTCAGGTTAGTGCTCATTGGCTACCTGACCGCTGTTCCTGAACAGCCCAGCTGAGCTACTGAGCTACTTTACTGCCTTATTTGATACTATTGTTACTGTTTTGCACCTGGATAAGCAGAACAGGTTCAGAGAAGCTTTTCTGGAATTCAAGCAATGTTCCCTCCTGACTCTGGTACGTCACGGCCCCCTCCCCCAATTTATCCCTCTGAATGTGTCATTTCCATCCAGTTGGACGGCAGCTTTGGCTCTGTTAGGGTACCTGGCTGGGCAAGGGCAGTCAAGCCCACTGGCTTTTCAAAAATCCTGTTCCAGGTTTCTGAACCATCTGGGGTTAACTGCCTGAGCAGTTCTATAGTATCGAGTATGCAGTGGTATTTGAGTACCTCCTAGGACAGTGTTATTATAATAGTAAATAATAGAATTTTTTAATTATCTTAATTAAAAGGCCAATGATGTATAATGAAGTAAATCACTATACCCATTTGCTAATCAAAGACCTAACATCATTAGAACAAAAGCAAGCAAATACCATCTTGGCAATAAGCCCAGTGTTTTTTTTTTTAAAAACAAAAAACTAAACTAAACTAAAATGCTGGAAACATGTCCACTTACCTGCACAAAGCCTCAATGGCATCTCTGTCCAAAAAGTCATGCTCTCTCTTGACCAAGGAAATATCGATAGGGAACAGGAGGTCTGAAAAGACAAATCCACAGAAAAATAAAAACAAATGCATTTACCGAGCACCCCAGGTTCCTGCCCAACTAATCCAGTTTAGCAAGGAGTGGGTGGGGGGCACTGAATATTCCAAAGTGCTATTGAATTCCTACTGTGTGCAGAACAAACACCTCATTCCCTAGCTATCAAGTGCTCTGGGAGAGAACAAAGCAATTTAAGATAATTCTGATTAGCATCCTAAAGGAGCTTAGAATCTGAAGTAGTTTGAAGATTAAAGTATCTCTTCTGGCCAGAGTTAAGTGGTTCAAAACCCTCTTCTACCTTTAAACAAATCAGCAGGCCACAGACCCATGCTATAAATTATAATTTAACAAGAAGGATGATCCCTTTTCATGTGGTTGGGTTTTTCTTTTTTTTTTTTTCCCCCCATGTGTGTTTTTGTTCACATTTGACCAGGAAGAGGTCACGGAAAACTGGGCCAAGGCAAGATGTCAAGAGCAAGGGCAAGTGGTGGTAAACCCAATCTATTTGCATAACATCAAAAGCCAGAGAATTCAGGATGTGCTATTTTTAAACACATCTTAGCACTTCCATTTGGCTTTTTAGGAGTTTAAAGAACTCCCCCTAAAACAGAAGGCCAGTAGAACAACAGAATCCCATATCCCTTAATCTGTAGAAGAGTTCAACACTCAGAATACTGAGTTCCATCAGAACTGAAAAGCAGAGTCAACTCAATGAAGAATTCATTTTCCTACTCCTTGTTGAAAAATCCTCCTTGAAAAGTCCAAGGAGGGAAGGGGAAAGAGAAGCAAGCACCGATTTACGACAGCTCTTGAAACACCAGGAGATAAAAGCATGTTACTCTTCTTCAGAGATCCAGCTATTAGGGGAAATGCGTCAATAAGTAATTAATTTTCTGGCGATAACACTTAAAAGTACCTTCTCTGTTTTACAATGTTGAAAAACAACACAATGAGTGTTAGAGTTGATTCTGTTTTTCTGAGGGCTAGATTTCGATTACTCATCCTGTTCTCTGAATGAGAACATAAGAAAACCAATGAAGGAGATACAGCCCAAGGATTTATGAAGAAACAGATGAAATTTAGTATCGCAGGTTTATATCTTGTCATTACACTACAGACCAAGTCTCTTAGGCAAATGATCGATGGCACCAATACAGTGGAAATAAGAACTTACAGTGAACGTGAACTCTTAGTAAACACAAGCAAGGCACACTGCAAAGCTGTTTAAGGATTGTGCCTTTGAATTTCATTGTTAAGACATCAATGACTCTATTAAATAACGGCGCTGACATTAAAGAATATATTTTGAATAATTCCAGAGAATAACATCAGATCTACGAATGTAAATTTAAAAACTCACAAGCCTGTTTATGTTAGACAGCAACTATGCTATTTGAGCAGTTCCTAACTTCATTTGCCCAGGGCTGTATTTTAGATTACCTTCACGATTCAAATTAATTTTAAAATTCTGTTTTAACAAAAATTCTAGGGTCAGTAGGGGTTAAAAGCAAGACAGGAGTGACATAATTAAATCAATAATCTTCTCTTTTTGCCTAAACTCCTTCCTAAAAGATGACGGTTTTTTTCAACGTATAGAAGAAGTTCTCAGAGTTCTTCAGTTTAAGATTTAAACTTCCAGCTTGGATTTAAAGGCAGGAAGTAAAACCTGCCAAGGACCAAAATAAAGCTGAACAGGAAGACAAGGAATGTGCGGGCTGCTGTGCAGAGTATGTGTGTGCTACAGACCCTGCACGGAGTGGCAGGAGGAAGGGGGAAATGACAGCCCAGAACAACATACCTCCAAAGGAGGCTTAGGCTTCCACAGGACCGGTAAACACAAAGGGACCCCGAAATGTAACCTGGCAAATGCAGTCTGCATTTGGGGATCTGCGAAGACCTTAAGACAGGGACTGGCACTGGGTGTCAGCAAACACACCCATCACAAGAAAGTGCTGTTTGGCAGCAAATCAACACCAAAAATGGACATAATTGAAGGAAATTTCATTTCTAAACAGGAGAACAAAAGGAACAAAGGACAGGCCTGTCTGTGACCGCCGCTGCGAATGCAATTATCTCCACCATCTCCAGTAGAGCTGTGAATTGGAAATCCAACAGACTGCTGGCCCCTCCCCGCAAGTCCTGCTGGAGGACCGAGATATTCTCTGGGTTGATAGGTAAAGATAAGCACCGCCTTCATAATAAACATGCAGGTTAACCAAATACCGTAGAAAAAGAGAAAAGAAGAAAGTAATTGGAGATACTCTCTGACATGGAGCGGCGGTGAAATATTTTTCCCAGTCCAACATTAAAATAATTCTGAATCCATGTTCATGAGAAATCATACATTCAATCTGGGCTACAGTAAGGAAGACCAGATATTGTAAATTTGGTAGTGAATTAATTTGGCTGCGTGGGCGAGGGGAAGAACGCTATCTCTGGTCCCTGACTGACGTGCTCCTGGGGGGGTACCTCCACCCCAAACCCATGTTCCTCTTCCAGGCAACCTGCTGATCATGCCTAGCACTTTCAAACTTACACACTTTATTCACTCTTAGCCTGGGTTTGTGCAATTCTGCTCATGTATTAAAGAAGGTCAGTAGCGAGCCCTACTCCAATGGAGAGGCCACTGCCATTGGTACAGGAAGCAGTTTGCTTGTTCTATTACCCTAGGAGAGAAGAACTAAAAACACATTTTAAAATCAGTTTTTTAAAAACGATCTATTTCTTTTTAGAGAGGGGGAAATGAGAGAGGAACAGAGGGAGAGAAACCTCCGTGTGAGAGAGAAACATGGATGGGTTGGCTCTCATACAACCCCCAACCCAGGACCCAGTTGGCAACCCAGGTATCTGCCCTGGTCAGGGATGAAAACGGCGACTCTTTTACTTGGTGGAATGACACCCAACCAACTCAGCCACGCTGGTCAGGGCTAAAGTCACCATGTATCGTGAGAAAAGTGAACATCCTGATGAAAAAAATTCAAGTGCCATCATTTCAACTGGATCTTTTAGATATTGTGTGACACACTGGGCTGTCTCATATAGTATCTCCTTCCTTCTTAACTGATGAAAAAGATGTAGTTTGAAATGTAAATCAACCAAAGTTATGTTTGCTTTTTGAAATTTTGACAGTCCTTTAGAGTTGTTCTTTGAGGCTTAAACCGTCTGGTTTTATACGATGTGTAGCATTCACCTTGTTGGTGCAGAATTCATACTAGCTGCTCGGTCACTTGAATGGACCTCTGGGTGGGTGAGAAGTGAATGAATGAAGAGACACCTGGTGTGGTCATCTGGGTGACATTAAGGGAACCGAGAATGCTCAATCTGGAAGAAGCACTGAACTGAAAGTCATTTAATTTACTCTCAATTTGGGGTCACTTTTCACCCAACCTTTGCCTGAAAATTATTCCTAAAATGGAGTTCACTAGTTCACAACTATACATTATGTTTAAATGATTTGATATAGAGTATCATACAGTTCTCATTTATTTTTTTGTTTCCATTCGATTTACATTTTTCTTTGTTTTTCTTTCTTTTTTAAAACTTTTGTTGAAGTGCAGCACAGCCCTCACTTAAACAGCCCATTCCTGTCACCGCGTGACTGCACTGTCCCCCTGCAGGGCAGGCAGAGGCTGAGTGAAGGCTGGAGACTGGGGGTGTCCCTCACCCTTGCCCCCAGCACCCCAGCAATCCCCAGGGCCCTGCTGAGGAAATGAAGGAGTGAAACTTCATCCTAGACCCTAATCATTCTTTCAAAAGGCCCATTTTTGTTCATTACAAAATCGAATGCCACAGAAGAAATAATATTCATCAAATGACAATCCAAAAAAAGTGAAGAGCCTAATTACAAACTGCAACACTGGAGCAGTGGAGGCTTACCACTCGCAATAAAGAACTCCTTCAAATCATGAAGAGAAGCATAATCAACTCTGGGAAAATGTGCAACAGGTTTTACAGAAGAGCAAACAGATACAACCAGATGACATAAAGAAATATGCATCATATCATTAATCATTAGGGCAATGGAAGTCAAACTCTGTAAGATATCATGTCATAGCCCTTTGATTGGTAAAAATTAAAGTCTGATATATCAAGCAGTGAGAATACGTGTAGGAGTGAAAACCAGTACATTTTTTTAAAACCTGCACTATAAAAGTGAATATACATATTCTCTATTACCCAGTAACCCTACTACAAGCCAGCAGCGGGCATACATGCAAGATCAGTTACTGCCCATGGACCACAAAAGCACAAGAATGTTCAAAACAGCACAGTTTATGCACACAAAGCAGAAAACCCAAAGGCTCCCCAGTGCGTGTATATGAATGAACTGTGTTGCATCCCTGCAATGAAGTATTTATTACACAGCAGTCGAAGCAGAAGCAGGGGGCACACAGAATGGAGAAATCGCAATATAAGAAGTGAAAGTATTAAATCCTACAAGATTACGTAGAGCACAATAGCCTTTTTATAGAGGAAAAATAAGTTTAGAAAAAGGTATTTTAGGAAAATGCAATAAAACTACCTAACACGAAAGCAAGAACCTGGTAAGGAGAGGTTTCAGGATGATGGCAACTTCAGGTGTGGGGGCAACAGAGGGACCTCTTGGGGGACATGTGGGTGTTTTTATCAAGGTCCTAGCTTTTGTTTTGAGTGGTGGGGGTCTTAGGTGCTTGCTATGTTGTTATTTTAATGAATGAAATAGTTCAGTATATAATAAAATACAGTATCTGAAAATAAACCATAGATCCATAATAACTTTGAAGCAAGGATATGATTATGCTAATTAAAAAAGAAACAGTGTTCCCGGCTCACCTTCGTAAAGCTGTGCGTACTGGGGGAAGCCCGTTGCCCGCAGCCAGTCACAAGCTTCTTTGGCTTCAATTTCTGCAATAGAACAGAAGACAAAATTGTCAGTCATGTGTATCTTCGCATGCTTCTTTTTCCTTAATAAACTGATTTTGTTATATAAGCAGTACACGGATGTCTGTTGGTCCCAAATAAGCCAAAAAAAAAAAAAAGAAAGAAAGAAAAGAAAACCCCTTCATTCAAATGGTTTAAAATTTGGTGCATTTTTTTACATTTTAAAAATGCACATAATTACTGTCTTTCCTTTAAAAAAAAATGAGGGATCTTGGTGCTTAGACCCAGCAGTCAGTCACTCTGTGCTGCGTCTATGTTCTGGTTAGAAATGATGGTGAAGATGGGGCATATGAGAAAGCTGAGGGATTATATAAAGCAGCTGCAGCCTGGCTGGCCTAACTTGGTTTCCTTTTCATATCAACAGAAGGCCACCAAGTAAGCCTGACCCCCCCACCCCCGGAAGGGAACTAGCCTGACCCGAAGAACAGGCCTCCAGCCACCTGACGGGGGTGGGGGGGGGGGGCATGTCGAAGCCCCAGGCACTAGGGCCAGATGGAAGTCCTGGCTGTCAGGTGTGGGGGCATCAAGTCAATCAATGCCACAATTCTGGGAGGCCGAATTGCCTGATAAAGGTTCTTTTCCCCGTGATGAACATCTTGTGGATGGTACTGATAAGCAGAAAGGCCAAGAGTCACTGACACATCTGTTCAAACCCACTCTAGCACGAGGTCACAATCCCATGAAAACTGACTCACAGAGGAGATGAGGGCACATTCATGAGTTTCCCTGTTTGCACAAAGAATATTCTTTCGGTTTCTCTTCCCCCTTTCCTCAGGCCACCAGACTTCTTAGGTATCGGTGAAGGATAGTCACCATTATAAATATCTCAACACTGCTTAATTTATTCCAGATGCAAACCTTCATTTAGCATCTCTCCTCTGAGCCAGATGGGAGCCCACCTTAGGGGAAATATGTATCTTAATTTCGTCTAGTAACTGTAAGGTTTCAAAGCATTTTTTTGGTCTATTATTTCAAGAGATCCTTGGCCTTTAGAGAAAGGTAATTATGAACACTCGAATTCATTACCACAGGTAGGGATGTCCTTATTGAGCAGGCCAAAGAGAAAAACCACCTGCTGTCTTCCGACGAGTTAGTTAACACCCAAACCACACACAGTTACAGCTGCAGAGGAGAAGCAAAAGGTGTGGCAAAGTTGATAGCCACGAATCTTATCACGAAAGCTGCAGCATTAAACACCAGATTCAGGGCTGAACTGGGGATGAAGAATCAAGTGAGATAAACATGTACGAGCCTCGATGTTTGTACTGCATAAAAGAATAAACAGAATTGTCCAGTGTGAATTATCTGTGCTTAACATTTTATTCATACGTTGTCTCAGTAAAAAGTTGAGAAAGCCGTATTTTTTATTTTTTTAAATATTTTATTTATTTGAGGGGAAAGGAAGGGAGAGAAAGAGGGAGAGAAACATTGGTGGGAGAGATGTCAATTGGATGCCTCTCACATGCCCCCAACTGGAGATCTGCCCCACAACCTAGGCATGCGCCCTGACTGGGAATCGAACTGGTGACCTTTTCGTTTGCAAGCCAGCACTCAGTCCACTGAGCCACACCAGCCAGGGCAAGAAAGCTTTAACGAAAATCATAAAATAAACATTTTCTAGAAAAACCATACTGATGGAAAAATATACAAAAGCTCAACATTTTATTTTAAAGAATGAGGAAACTACTTTTCCTCTATCTCTATGGCCCCTGCTGAAAAATAGATAGAGGAAGAAAAAAAGAGTCAAGCGTTTGTTTTGTAAAAAGTATTTTAAAGAACTCACTTTTCTGACTATTTAGAGGTTACTTCTGTTGAACAGACTGTTGGACATTGAACGGTAATAGACTGTTCAAGAAGAAATGTTCTTGCTTTCCTAATTTCTACCTAAGCAGCGGCGGGAACACCAGCTCACGGCGCACACACCACAGCCTCAATCAGACGCGGCCCTACAGCCAGCGCTGCCTCTTGTTCAGCGCGTGGTCCCAGTTTTCTCATTAAAATGGCTTTATGCCAAGAGACACGGAAGCTATAAGAGATTATTTTTCTAAAAAATCCTGACGCTTCTTTATATAATGTCCTCCTTACAAACTACCAGGTATTGTCACATGTATCACTGACCCAAGGGGCCAGTGTGTGGGGACTCCCAGCGCCTGTTGCTGTCCTGTTGTTCTCTTGCCCGTTTTCCACCGCCAAGAAAATGAAATGCCCCAAGATTGGCCTGAAAACTGAGTCCCAATCGTCACTCTTCTTAGGGCCGCTGGTTCGAAAACAACGATGTGAACAGGTGAAGATTTGCTTCTCCAGCAGAAAACTGAGTTAACGGCTCGCAATGGCTAAAAAGCAATACTGTCAAGGACTGCAGAGATCCCGTAATTTTACCTTTCCCAAAACAGATGAGAATCTGTCTTTCTTTTAGATATGAAACCACGGGAAATAGGGGAGCCTGTATCAATTTTACATTGAAATAAATTTTCCCTTTCATTTCACAAGGAATGAACTGACACCCACATCCTAGTCAGCTGGGGAATACCCTTTCTTCACCTCCCTGACTACTCATTACTTTTACTTTTGTTTCTGAACTAAAACTCCAACTCCAGGTTTCCAATTCTCTCCTCCCTCAGAGAATCTATCCAACCCCGGCTCATCAAATTTCCCAAGTTACAGTTCTGATCTTGTCTCTCCCCCACAAAATTCACCGGAACTCCACGGCTTAGAAAATCAAGTCTGAACACCTCCGCGTGGCTTTCAGGGCTCTTCATGTGGCGTCCAGCCTAGTTTTCCAGCTGCCTGTACTCGCTTATACTCCAGCCAAAGTAAACTCGATGCTCATCTTCCCACACGTCTCTGACCACTCTGGCCTGAGATGCTTTCCCATCCGCTCAATGTCAACTTTCACCCATCCTTCAAGGCCCAGCTCAAATGCTGCCTCCTCCGGGCAGTCCTTCCAGATGCCTGCCTCTCCTTCCTTTATCAATGGCTACCTTTTTTTACTGAGTGCTTCCTATGGGCGAGGCACCATCTCAGCACTTAATGCTCATTCATTCATTTACTCTTCATACTGGTTCTAAAACATGGATTACCACTATTACCCCCAAGGTATGCAGATGACGAAGTAAGCAGAGAAATAACTTTTCCTTAAAAATGAGCTTTTGTTACATTTGAATGCCACAGTGGAATAGAGAACTAAGACTCACAGAAATGAACAGGATAGGTTCTATCCTTAAAAACATATACCAACAAACAGCATTCAAAATACCAAAGAAAACTGTGTACGTGTCCTTACTTTGGTCACGAGGACTCCCCCATGCCTGGCTTTTGGAGCCCTCTAACTGGCCATGAGGGCCTGGTTCTTCCCTCGGTGCATGTGAGTGGTGGTGGGAACACTATAAGGACGATTTTTGAAAAACATCCCCCACCAGGCCAAAATGCCGTCAGAAAGTGAAAGCACAATGGCGAGAAAACATCAGTTTTCTACCTGGGTTTTCTCTAGGCAAACGACAGACAAATGTGTTGAGTAGGAAACCGGAAATTTTTACTGGAATCAGCGTTAGTGGCTGGCTGGATTAGATGCCTGAGGTCCAGGACCTTTTTGTGTCTGACTGGGAACCATTAGGCCTTATTTGCACACTTCCTGGCACAGGGGGATGACCCTCTCTTCCCCTCGCCCCTCAACAGTGAGTGAGGCCGAAATTCCCCAAGCCTGTCATCGTTCGTTAAACTCGCTGTTCTTAGGTTGAGCAACAGCGATTGGGCGGAAGCAGGAAGCGATTGATTCCTTGCACCTTCTGTCTGTTATCCTCACAGTGGGTATTTTTAGGCTCCCTGCCTTCTTCAACAACATGCTACCCAAATCAGGACTCAAGGCAAATGCTGCCCAAATTTATTTCTTCAACAAAAGCCCAAGGAACTGGAGGACGAATACAGACAAAGAACTCTGACTTGAATCCTTTTCTCTTTGCAGTGAATAAAAAGACATGCCAAACACACCCAGCTGCCAAAGACTGGTCATCAGGAGCTACCTATGTAAAAGGGATTCTGGCTGGAGCAAGTCGGATAGCAGTATCTATTCATTAATATTTATCAAACCCTAATATTACCTAATCACAGCAAAGATTTTGACTGGCAACTAGAAAAATTCCTCTCCTCACATGTCTTAAAAAAATTCAAAATCTTTGACTCTTTTTAGAATCTTCTGTGCATATTCTGAAAGAAGCCAATGAGGAAGCTTCTGAAAGACCTGCCGGTCCCAGTTCAGTTCCTAAGGCCATCTGGCCTGATAGCATTTGACTCAAATCCACTGTCAGGTATGTTCCGGGACAGGCACGCGTTTAAGTGAAGCCAATGTTCCTTCATTTCCCTCTTCACTCCATGTTTGTTTATCAAACACCTACTAAGTATGTTGCCAGCTGTGCACAGGAACAATCAAAGACGCAGGTTCTTACCCCGAAGCAGGAAGCCAAATGGAAAGGTAATTCACAGTTGAGTACATGGTGTCTGATGACCCTCCACTTAGGGTGAATTGGTTTCCTGAGGGCTATTCTAAGGCCCTTGTGTTCGTTAGGTCCTAAGTGTTAGGTCCCAGGTCCCTGTCCAGGCAGCACCAATGAGTTACTACTTCGTAAGTGAAAGCTGAAGGAAGTCCTAGCGGTGGCCCCTGTGCCCCGGCTCCTCACTGCACTCCGTCCGTCGGCGCATCTCTCTCGGGCTCAGGGATCCAGCTACACTGGCCTCTTCTCATCCACCCTGCTCCCCTTTCCTGCCTTATTTTTCCTTCTCCCAAAACACGTGTTAGGTTTACTTTGTCTTTCCCCTCCGTAAGCTCCAAAAGGGCAAGCTTCTTTGTCTGTCATATTCTCTGGTATATATCCCATGAGCCAACAGTGTGGGAGACATAGTAGTTGCTCAATAATTAAATATGACATCAATAAATATGCCATAAGAAATATATTTTACCTTGTAACCTG